CAGACCTCAACAGAGGACCTGGCATACGACACACCAAAAAGTGTTGAGTGCTGACTAGTCTTTGGCAGGGGTAGAGAGCAAAAATTGTTCATGTTAACAATTCTAAAATGTTGTTTTTTTTTTTTTTTTAAATGAAATGCCGTATATATATATACATTTCATACATAATGTAATCACTTTTTGATTGTATGGCAGCTGGCAAGGCAAATGAAGGGGACAATGGTGTACTTGGTGGTGTACCTTACAGCACTCGGTATATATTTCATATACAGTCTAATTTTTTTTCACGATCCTTTCCAGTTTGTTTAAACTTCGCTCCTGTTGCGCAGGTTACTCTGCAGCGGTGGCACATTATTCTCAACCTCTTCTTGTTTAATAATAATAATAACTGTGATTGCTGTTCTTTACAAAGGGCCCATAGTGTTATAATTGCTATGAACTGTGAATTCAGATTTAATGCACTATAGGGTAAAATTAAAAGGAAATTGAATCTTTCCACCGCAAGGCAGACTGTTGTTGCACTAATATCATTTTATTTTCTAGAACAGAAGAATTCTAGATTACATATAGCTTTCCACAACAATAAGTGTTACAACTGTTTTCTTCTGTAAAATGCATAGATTTCTGCTGCAGACTTTTTTTTGTCTGAAAATGCTAGTTGGCTGACACTTGCGCTCATGCAGTGGATATAAAGCACACACTTTCTCCGTCCTTCCCCTCTTCATCCTTACACCCTCAGTGACACAATCGTCTCTATGGGCTTTCATGGCTCTCATAAAGAGGTCCTGACTATGTCCACTCTTTCTTCCCAGCCTCTGCCATTCATAGAAGCCATATTACAGCTCCTATGAATGAAATACGATATAAGAATGGAGGATGGGCAGTTGATTGAAAGGTACACCCACCCTCTCAATTCATGGTATTCCAACCATTGAAGCTGTAGTATGGCTTCTATGAATGGTGGAACTGAGCGAAAAGGGCAGGAATCATCGATAAGCAACTCTGAGAGCCCATTGGTGGTATTGACCCCTGCCACACTGGAGGATTATGGAGTGGGGGAGGACAGGAAAGAGGTTATGATTTTCAGAAGAGGAATCAGCCCAAGGGACATATACTACTAAGTTTTGTCCCTTTTGCTGATTTTTCTGTTTGACTTTGGCCACAAGGTGACTCTCTTTGGAAAGTATGGGGATGACCATTCCTGGGTGTACTTTTGAAAATGATAGTTGCCTAGCTGTATCTGGTTCAAATACATTTAAGTCTCAGAAATTTACAAAAGAACGCTGCAAGTGATTGGTAGAATACCAATCTTTAATATCTCTTCCAGGTCAGAGAATTAGACTGTATTGAAGTCAAAGCATCAGAATCACAGCCAGGGGACTCTTAATAAATAGGTTCAGCAATGGTGGACTCCATAATTTTAGAATGTATTGAAAACTCCACAATATTGACAGTAGAGTTCAAGATGAGGTAATTCTTATCAGAATAACATGGGACAAAACTTCCAATATTTAACTTGCAGGCTGCAACTTCCTCCTTTTCCCATCATTTTTCATCAGGGGTAGCTCATCAGGGAGTGTTAGTTTCCAAAACATATTGGCTGTTTCATCTGATATGAGGAAAATGAATTGGTCATCTTGGTTTCTGTTACCATTGGTGTGGGTTTCTCAATACATTTTTAACTCATGGACTTTATTTACGGTGCCAGATTTGAAATAGCCTGACCTTGAAAAGCAGTCCAGCCAGAGCCAGTAAGTGCTGTAATTTGGATATGACTAACCTTGGTGATACTGGATAGTGAAATAGTTCCTCATATCCTCACTTTTCCACAATCTTCCATGACCGAGTTCCATTAACATGGTACCATAACAGGTATGCAGATCAGGCATTCTGACTTGATTTGCTGCATGTGATTTTGGTGTCATTGAGTCAAAGTCATGCCTCTCCTATGAATACAGCCTTTTTTTTAAAGCAATTTATAAACTGAGTATATGGTGTCAATAGGGAGTGAGCATGTTGCTCCACAACTTTCAAAATGTTCACTACACAGGTGTGAAGTGCAAATGAAATAATTTTGTATTCTTATCTAAAGATCAATTATGCTAGAGTTATAGCCTATAAAACCTGGTGTTGGATAAAACTGAGATTTTAAGCAGGTGGCTGCAGGTTCTAGCCCTTTCTAGCTGCTAATAACTCTTTGGGATCTTCGTGGCTAGTTGTGTGCTTGGAGTTCCCAACTCCACCCACTGCCTGCTTTAGAAGCTGAGCAATGACTGAATTCTAAAACAAATTCAGGGAAAGCAAAGTTGCCAGTAAGAAAAAAAACTAGACATGAGCTGTACCAACAAAGCTGCAGCAGATTATTTGCCAAGTACTTATATGTGGGGAGCAAGGCCATAGAATCACCTATGTTCACAGTGTGTATGTGCTATTCTTGGCTTAATTGCTGTCATGCACATTTTATGCCATGGTTGACTTAACATACAAATGGTCATATAAATAGTGCTTATGCAGCTTTTTATTTTGCCTTGCTTGCATAATATTCACAAACATCTCTAAACCATGGTTCACTTGGTGTGCAAATTGCACAGTTTAAACACAAAGACAAATAGCAAAAAAAAAAAACAAAAACCTTGGTTTATTACTGTAGGCTTTGTTCTTTCTCTTGACAGCAACTCAAAACGTACTTTACACTTTTCTGTACCAACCATAGCACAGCGAAGGAAATAAAGTGGTGCTTAGCAGAAAAGAGTGAAACTTCCTATCTAAAGGACTACAGCACCTTAAGGCGCATTCATAAAACAGAACTTGTTATCGCATGTATGTATATATATATATATATATATATATATATATATATATATTTATAAACTCATGTAAGTGTGTGGTTTACCACACACTACATTACAATGCTTTTTAAATTTGTTTTTTTTTTTCTTTTGCAAATTTGACTTCTTGTTATTTATTTCAGGTACTTATATAGCGCTGTCAATTTATGCAGCGCTATATATATATATATATATATATATATATATATATATATATATATATATATATATGGTACATTCACATCAGTCCCTAACCCGCAAGGGGTGTACAATCGAAGGTCCCTAACTCACATTCATACATACACATACTAGGGACAATTTAGACAGGAGCCAATTAACCTACCAGCATGTCTTTGGAGTGTGGAGGGAAACCGGAGTACCCGGAGGAAACCCGCACAGGGAGAACATGCAAACTCCAGGCAGGTGGTGCTGTGGTTGGGATTTGAACCAACGACCCTAGTACTGCCAGGCGTAATTGCTAACCACTAAGCCACTGTGCCGCCCCACTGCACTGCATTGTGATGTAATACAGCTTCTCTGTTCAAGCTGCTCTTTGCAAAAATTCAATATATCCCAAAAAGCAGCCTTTTTTTTTTTTTTTTTGTTTTTTTTTTTTTCAGTTTTTTTTCAGCACACCCCATAGCAGTGCATTGGTGTGAACTTAAGTCATAGGACCTGCAGGAAATTGCTGTGTTCTTGCATTGGGATGGTGTTGGGCAACACTGCCCAATGCTGGTGGATTAAACAAGCCCTCAATGAAAGTTGACCTTGGGAGGTCCATTACAGACCATTGGCCTTAATGAGGCTGGTTTAAACAAGCCCTCAATGAAAGTTGACCTTGGGAGGTCCATTACAGACCATTGGCCTTAATGAGGCTGGTTTAAACAAGCCCTCAATGAAAGTTGACTTTGGGAGCTTCATTACAGACCATTGGCATTAATGAGGCTGGTTTAAACAAGCCCTCCATGAAAGTTGACCTTGGGAGGTCCATTACAGACCATTGGCCTCAATGTGGCTAGTTTAAACAAGCCCACAATGAAAGTTGACCTTGGGAGGTTGATTACAGACCATTGGCTTTAATGAGGCTGGATTAAACAAGCCCTCAATGAAAGTTGACCTTGGGAGGTTCATTACAGACCATTGACGTTAATGATTCTGGTGGTGAATTTGCCATGATTTAGACTGGTGAATCCCTCCTCACCATATTTATGCATAACAGTACGCATTGCAATACATTTAGCACCCACATAATGTAGATGTCCAAAAGAGTTTCATAGTATGCACCACAATAGGCCCGTGTGTACATCCTTTGTTACCATATGGGTGTAGGTGTAACAAAATCATTCTTGGTGAGCAAAAATGGAAGCTAAATGAGGAATCCTACACAGTTATGATGAAGCACAAGCTAACATGTTTTGTGTTTTTACTCATAGCATGGATCAGTGGTTACATGTTTTATATGGTCTATGGGTCATAACCTTCTGAACTTGCAGTATCATGGAGTGTGGTGAAATGTTTTTCTTCTCCTACACTTAGCTTGTGGTTATCTGTTTGTTGATTTGGAGTCACCCTGCTGTGTCTGTAAGTCTTGTTTCCATTAAATTCTAAAAATGTTAAACTTTCTCTGTTAATCGGCCAAATAAAAGCCAAAGTTCTTGAACAATCTTTGGTGTTTAATCATAAAGTCGTACTGTGTGACTGATTGGCTTGTTTGAATGTTATCTTGAATGAGCGTAACATCCAGTACCAACTCTAAGCCAAACCTTTTTGGCTATTAATTTTTGACTGTGTGATGTTAGTGGGGTTCTTTATGCGTACAGTGTGTTTGCAACATTTTGTCTGGGTCAAGTGTGTGTATGGCCTTCATGAGTGCATGTCTTCAGTATATATTATGTATATGCCAAAAATGTCCCCATAAAACTGCATGTTTTTCATGTCCGCATCTTTATTTTCATTTCTTCATTTGCATGTAGAATGAATTGGCCTTCAGCATTTTACCCCGGCCCTATCACACTGCATGTTTCCCACTTGACTTGTTCCATGTTGGTTTGTGCATGTTTTTTAGAGTTTAGATCTATCTATTCTGACACACTGATGTGGGGCTGGGTGGGGCAGATGGACTGTTTTGTACTCAGGCAGGCTACAGTATTGCTATGTTTCTCTCGTACCCAGAACACGCAATGCAGACGCAGGCAAACGCAGGAGCCATCGCCGGGGGGGTAATCGGGGTGATTCTGGTCCTGCTCCTTCTGGCCGCCATCGTCTTCATCGTCATCAAGAGAAAGGGACTGCATGGCAAGCAAGATCGGGGAACCTACAACCCAAAGACCCGTGTATTTGGCACTGGAAAGCCTTCTCAGGAATTCACCTATCAAGATGACGGTGAGTTGGATAAACCTCTCAAAGGCCCTGGACCAATGAGGGACAGTGGGCTAAGTCCCTCCTTGGAGGAGGATGAAGATGAAGAGGAAAGGATGAAGTACAAAGTTCTAGAAGATGATGAAGAGGACGAGCGATTTAACGAGGTGGGACCCATGCTGCAACTTAGACCTCACCCACAAATTGACTCTTATCTGGACGACGACATGGAGTCCCAGACTGATGGCTCTATCATCTCCAGGACTGCAGTGTATGTGTGACACTCCTCCAAGAGGTGTCCATATATTTGTATCCTCCAGCACCTGGACTTCAGAGTGTTCCTTATTTGTTCCAGTTATGGACTGAAGAGTGTGTATCTTTTAACTATCCATGTTTCACCACTCATTTGGACTTATCTAGCCTCAATGACATCATGAGCCATTCCGACTGCAATGTACATGTAAGACCATTTCCCCTTGTATAACTCAACTTTTCAATCAGGTATGTGCAACCCAACTTTATAAGAACAGGACATTGTGTAAAGAATCTCCTGTACTTGTCCATGCAGGTCCCCTTACAAATGCTCCAAGGGACTGTGGTTCCATTATTCCATTTTCCTGCCCACCAAAAGTGGATGTGTCCTACTCTTGCTCCCATGGAATACTATGGACTCTTAAGAAAATGGACTGTTCCTTTATATAGACCTTGCCTATATCACTGTGCTTCTTGGTGACCCCTCATTATTTTAGGGGGCTGGGAAAGGTGCAGTAAGAGCCACGCTGATTTTTATAACTTTCTGTGCCAGGGGCAAAATGCCATTTGCAGTTTTTACAATATGTAGTGGAGATTTCAAAGATGGGGTTTGCACTAATAAAAAGAAGGACTGATCTAGGGTTAATATGAAGGAAATTTTACCTTGGGTTAATAGAGGGAGGGTTGGGGGTTGCTTTGATTTTATGCTATTATTTTTTTGTATTTCTGAAAAAAAAGATTGAGAAAATTTTTAATAAACATCAAAAAAGATGCCCTGTTTATCAGAAGTTGTCTATGGATTTCATTTTTTTATGTGGAATTTAAGCTGTGAAAAGTATTAAGCCTGGGTTCACACATCTGTGGTGCGGCATATCGCATGTGATTCGCACAGGAACTGCACCGCATTCCTGTACAAATCACATGCAAATTGTGCGCGGTGCGATTTGAGCCATACATTTTGTATGGCTCAAATCACACTTCATCCGTACCAAAAAGGTGCAGGACCCTTTTATTGGTCTGCACTAAAATCTGATCGCAAGGGTATTCACACCCATGCGATCCGATTCTCCACATCGCACCACAATTTGCGAACCGATTTCGAGGGGTTGTTAACTTAAAATACACACCTGCAGCGGTTCGCATGAGCGGGGTGCAATTGTGATGTGGTGCAGAATTCGCACAGAAACGGGTGCAAATTCTGCACCGCATCAGTGTGAACCCAGGCTTAAACTGAACTCCAAGCAGATACAGAAACATAATTAAAATTTTTACATACAGCTGTAACAGGGATGCTCAACCTTTTGAACAGCGAGGGCCACTGAAGTGATTTGGTAACCGGTCGTGGGCCACAATAAATGGTTCAAAATTAAGAATGTGTTATTTTAAATAGCATAAGGAACATTTTTCCTTCTGCTGAATGCCGGCAGGAGGGAAAATAGGAGAAGTTGGCAGTTGTAGAAGAAAAACAGAGAAAATAAGTTCCTGTATATGCCTCCCCTCCTATCCAAGTGTAAAACAGAATATGACAGGGAGGCCGCACGGACCCCCTGCAGCAAAGGGAGGCCGCACGGACCCCCTGCAGCAAAGGGAGGCCGCACGGACCCCCTGCAGCAAAGGGAGGCCGCACGGACCCCCTGCAGCAAAGGGAGGCCGCACGGACCCCCTGCAGCAAAGGGAGGCCGCACGGACCCCCTGCAGCAAAGGGAGGCCGCACGGACCCCCTGCAGCAAAGGGCGGGGTCGCCATTGCAACCCCTGGTGCTACACCAGGCGTTGAGGGGGTGTAGTAGAAAACACCCACCCCCAAACCACAAATTTTAAATGAGCCCTTATTTTCCTGAGCCACTTATAAGGCTGCTTTTACACTGATGTGCTGAAGTTTTCCACACCACATATGCAGCACAATGCACCTACAGCTTTCCTGCGGGTTAGTTGCACTCTGCCTCAGACTTGTATTGGTGCATTTTCTGAAAACGCACAGAAACTCCTGCATTGGGGTTAAGGGCTACATCATAGGGTTCCAGGGGCCACAGGTTAAGCCTCTCTGAGCTATAAAAAGTAACAAAATCTTTATATTGGCTTCCTGTCATCCCTGTGCAACAGCATTCAGAATAGTAGGTTTGGTGACTAGTGAGTTGCTGCAGGAGGAGAGGTGATACCATTGTATACCCTAACTCTACCAAAGAAAGTGTCAGTCACCCTCCTTGCCATTCTGTCCAGCAGATGTATATGAATCACAAAAGTGGGCGCATAGAATTAAACCCATTGGCAGATAGGAGAGATTGATGAGTATTTCATCCGCGTATTTAGTCTTTTTTTTTTTTTTTTTTTTTCCTTGAAGTTCAGCTTTTTTTAGATTGCATTGGTCGCAGCTACAAAACCTTTAACTCTGAGACTTGAGATTGTTTTATATCCATCTTTGAATGTGTTACTTCCCATCTTAAAATGTTACTAGCTTTGTCTATTTTAAATGTATGTTGGTTTTTATTTTAGTTTTCTATGATTTAAACATCACAGCACTGATGGTTCTGAGCTTTGCTGGAACATACAATACAACCCAGTGGTGTTCTTCAGACCTATCCTGATGGTTTGTCCACCACTACCTAAATGCACCAGTATACCATCTAAATGAACGGTCTGGTCATGTAGCCCGTGACTTCTGTATAAACCTGGGGATGAACAGCGATATTTTATTTTTTGGCATCTGTGTCTTAGGCTAGTGTTCTGATACTGGGGACATTGGCACATGGTGAAAGAGATCTACTGAACTTCTATCTAGGTTTATACATGTGACATGGCATTGGCACAGTCACATGGCCAAATGGCTTATAATGTGGCAGGAAAGCCATTTCAAACGCTTTCCCTATATAAAGTGGGGATGTAGCATATTACACAAAGAGAGGAAAGGGCAAGGCTTATTGGGATTCGTAACTAAAAATGTTGGCCAATGTTAAATTTGCTGTGAGTCTAGCATTGTAGGGTCTTGTACATTTTGTATATACAGTATGTGTCTGCATTGGCGTGCCTAGCATCATACTTGAGGCAGTATAAGAAAATCCATATACACAGCTGGTAGTAGAATGAAGCCTTGTGAACAGATGGAGGTGGGGGGGGTACATACTCTGTCCTCACAGTATGTAGCCACAAACCCCGTCGCCTTCAGTATAATGATGGAGAATAGGGTAAAAACACAAGAATAAATAGTAAAAACTACACTCCTGAACAATTATTAGGCAAGTGAGGTTTTTTTTTACCAAATCATCATTTGTATGCATATTGCCCAACTCCAAGCTGTATAATGTTGAATGCTTATTGGGTTTAAGCATACCAGGTGATGTGTATTTGTGTAATGAGGGAGAGTGTGGCCTAAGCAAATCGACACCCTATATCATCAAGGTGTGCATAATTATCAGGCAGCTTCTTTCATAAGGCAAAATGGGGCAAAATAAGAGATTTAACGGACTCTGAAAAGGCCAACATTGTAAAAAGTCTTTCAGAGGGATGCAGCACTCTTGAAATTGTTAATATTTTGGGGCGTGATCACAGAACCATCAAACGTTTTGTTGAAAATTGGTCTACAGAGTCACAAGAAACATGCTGAAAAAAAAAAGATACATTAACTGCCAAAGATTTGAGAAGAATCAAACTTGAAGCTACCAGGAACCCATTATCCTCCAGTGCTGCCATATTCCAGAAATGCAACCTACCTGGAGTGCCCAGAAGTACTCAGTGCTCAGAGACATGACCAAGGTAAAGATGGCTGAAACCCGACCACCACTGAACAAGACATAATTAGAAATGTCAAGACTGGGCCAAAAAAAATGCATGACCAAGGTAAAGATGGCTGAAACCCAACCACCACTGAACAAGACATAATTTGAAATGTCAAGACTGGGCCAAAAAAATATCTGAAGACAGATTTTTCAAAGGTTTTATGGACTTATGAAATGAGAGTGACTCTTGACGGACCACATAGATGGGCCAGTAATTATTACGGTTATACCAGCCCATATCAGAAACCCACCTACACCTTGCTGGCATCTGAGTTGAAGTGAAGCTCTGTGCCCGTTACTGATCCAGCGACTGGCCCATCCATCTAGTCCGTCGAGAGCCACTCTCATCTCATCAGTCCGTAAAACCTTTGAACAATCTGTCTTCAGATATTTCTTGGCCCAGTCTTGATGTTTCATCTTCTGTGCGTGCCTTGGTCAGTGGTGGTCGGGTTTCAGCCTTCCTTACCTTAGCCATGTCTCTGAGCACTGAACACCTCGTACTTCTGGGCACTCCAGGTAGGTTGCAGTTCTGGAATATGATAGCACTGGAGGATAATGGGTTCCTGGGAGCTTCAAGTTTGATTCTTCTCAAATCTTTGGCAGTTGATTTACGTCTTTTTTTTTTTTTTTTTTTTTTCCCCTAACATGTTTCTTGTTGAATATTTGCAACAAAGCGTCTGATGGTTCTGTGATCACTCCACAATCTCTTAGCAATTTCAAGAGACTGCCTACCTCTAAAAGACTTTTTACAATTTTTGACTTTTCAGAGTCAGTTACATTTCTTTTTTGGCCCATTTTTTGCTGGAGGAAAAGAAGCTACCTAATAATTATGCACAACTTGATATAGGGTGTTGATCTACTTAGGCCACACCCTCCCTCATTACACAAATAGACATCACCTGATATGCTTAAATCCAATAAGCATTCAAGTTTATACAGCTTGGAGTTGGACAACATGCATACAAATGATGATTTGGTCAAAAAAACTCACTTGCCTAATAATTTGTGCATATAGTGTGTATTTGTATCTCTTAAAGTCAGGGGCTGACTGACAACTCATGGGGCCCCCGGGCAATAGGGGATCATGGGGCTTCGCCCACACCCAAAAAAGCCTATGAAAAAGCCAATAAAAGGTACCAGGGGCATCTCATGGTGACCCCAGGCCCTCGGGCAGTGCCTGAGTGCTTGAATGGTCAGTCCGCCCCTGCTTAAAGTATATGTAAACTCTCACCTGGTAAAACAACCATACAGTTTCAA